CCTGTTTCATTTGAGACATCCTATAGTGCAAAAGTTGTTTTTTTTTGTGCGAAAAATAACAATATTTTTTTATCTTAAAGGCATTCATTAAGATAACGTGATGACAATAGCAGCAACAACAACAACAACAATAATGATAATAATAATAATAATTAGAATGAGAGTAATATAAAAATAGAAAAAAAATTAAAGTTTTTTTAGATTTTCTAATTTTTTCTAGTTTTTTTAATTTCTTTTAATTCTTTCAATTTCTTCCAGTTTCTTCCCGTTCTTCCCGTTCCTTTCAGTTTTTTTCCAATTCCTTCCAGTTTCTTTCAACATCCAGCTCTTTTTTCAGTCCTAAAGAACAGGCTCTAAATGAAGATAACATGACATTACTCTTCCAAACCAGAGTGATTGTATGGTGGACTTAAGGTCCGATCTTCTCACATACTCGTATGTTTTTATTTTTAAAATATTTATTTCAGGGTTTGAAAAATGCTTAATTAAGATATATGAAAGTTTACGATGGACCTTAGGTGCATGTAATAAATATTCTTTAGGTGCATGTAATTTTTAAAATGTTTATTTCAACACTCGAAAAATTCTAAGATATTATATAAATGACTCTTAATTTTTGAAAACTATTTTATAAATAATTCTTTAGGGAAAATATGACTAGATATTTTTTTCCACAACTAGTTCCTGAATGGCCAGTTGTGGAATATTTTCAAAAAATTTAAAACTAATTATGTAATATCTTAGAATTATGGACTAAATATGAAAAATAATATGTAATTAAAGACCATTTATAGAGTTTACTCTTTATTTTTTTATTTTTTTGTTCTAAAATAATTTATGTTTTTATTATTAAGATTTTAAGATAACTTTTGTTTGTTTGTTTTCATTGACCATTTAATAAAATAAAATATATATGTTTGTCACCTCTTATTTTTATTTTTTTGTTCTAAAATAATTTATGTTTTTATTATTAAGATTTTAAGATAACTTTTGTTTGTTTGTTTTCATTGACCATTTAATAAAATAAAATATATATGTTTGTCACCTCTTATTTTATAAAACTTTTGATGTAATTTTTATATCCTAAAACTGGTTGTATATCCTATCTCGGGAAAAAAACACAACGGTCTTATTTTTCTCTTTTTCCTATGTTTATTTATATTTCGGTCTTTTTTTCATCAAAATAATATGAAATAACAAACAATATGGATATATTATTTTATCAAACAAGTAATAAAAATAGACAACAAGTGTTCATGTTTAATTGTGTGAATATAATTGTGTTATTGTGGTTCTAAGGTTCATATATGAAATGTGAAGCTTTCCATAATTTTTATGTAGACTCATGGTTGGATTTTTGTTTTATTATAAGGCTTAATATGTACTATTATTTTTTATTTCAGATTCATAGAATGAATATGGATCTAAGGACCACAAAAAAAATTGTCATGTAGTAATGAAAATATATTTCAAATTAAAATAGAATATGTAGAATCTTAACTTGATACACTAGTGAACTTTCAAAATTGAATTAAATGATATTTCTCCAATTTACTCCTTTCATCCTTAATTGATTTGTACGCTCTGATCAAAGTTGCCGAGTATTTCCTTAATTTCATTACTCTCTCCATAACATAAAACAATGTTGTTTCTATAGGTGGACCCAAATTGAGTGTCGCATAGTCCCAACACGAACCGTTACGATGTCTTTACATATATATTAGTTATACGAAACTTTATAGCATGCTACCTCGATCCCAATAATTTTTTTAATATAATTTGATTTTTATCAAACTTTACTATTTTTTGAAAACAAATAGTGGAAAAATATATCAATATATATATATATATATATATATTATAAATTTAATATAATTGTGTTTAGTTTAACATGTGTATTGGTATATTAAATTTTTATACTCTCTCGAGAATAAGGGGAAAATGCTAAACAATGAGTTAAACATAAAGAAATTACCAAAATAGTAGATTCATGTTTTTTATTGCCAAAACAAAAGTTACAATGCTAATAATCTCAATACATAGTACTAAAAACACTGTGAAATGTCAATATACAGTGCTACATGGTCGCACTCCAAACTTCTATTTTAGATATAAAAACATAGAACTTTTATTTTGAAGATAAATGTTATGTTTTATTCATACTTTGGATGATTTATTGAGAATTGAATAACACTCTCTTTGTGTGGATATCGAGAATTGACTTAGTTTATTTTCAATTCAATTTATCTACATAATGATAAATTTTTAAAATAATATTTATATATTAAAAAAGTATATCAAATTCTATGTAAAGTAGGTATTTTTCTGTGCTTATAAGTTGATCAAAATTACTTATAAACTATTTTTAAGAGTAAACTACATAAAATGTTCATAGTTATACGTCGTTTTCCATATTTAGTCTCCACATGTCAACTTTTAATAATTTAGTTCCTAATTACTACATTTTTTTCTGCGAATGGTCATCTGTTTCCATTTCCGTTAAGAACATGGATAAAGTTGTAAATTTATAATCCTATCTCTTCTCAATTAACCTTCCTCCCTCCAATCGTATTCCTTCCCAAATTTGTCGTTGAGTTTGAAGCTCTAAACCGAAAACCAAAATCATCACTCATCTCTCAATTGTTCGTCTTCCTGGTGGAATCCAAAATCGAAACTACTTACCTTCATGGATGAGTTTCATGAGTTAATCTCAAGAAATTGCAAAAAAACAAACGTTGAAACTCATACAAATAATAAATTTGACTAATTCTTGTTCGGTTGGGGTACACTTTTTCGTCCACAATTCTCCTAATTGAAATCTGATTGCACTGTTGCAATCAGGCAATCAAACTCTACACAACTATATAGTTATATTTATCTGAAATAGTTTTTTCTGACGTCATATTTTTTGGTGTTTGACGTTGACAGGGTCAAATTTATTTTAATTAACATATAATTAAATTTATTCTCATATCCAATTGATATTATTCAAGCATAATGATTTATTCAAATAAATCATTTTTCAAAAGTTCATATCATTAATCACTTTTTGGTTTTGTAGAAATTACATAGTTTAATATTGAGTAAATTCTATAAAAGGTCCCCAGTTATAGGTCGTTTTACATATTTAGTCCATATATATCAAATATTACTAGTTTAGTCTCCAATTATTATATTCATTTCCACGAATAGTCCTTTGTTAACATTTCCGTTAAGAACATGGATAAAATTGTAAATTTACTCCTTTCTATACTCAATTAAGCTTCTTCCATCCCCTCGCACTTCTTTCCCAAGCCGGTCGCTAAGTTTGAAGTTTTGAACCCAAATTCGAAATCATTACTCTTCTCTCAATCGTTTGTCTAACTGGTGGAACCTAAATTCGAAACCAGTAACTTTTATGGATGAGTTTTAATGTTTATTTTCTTTGCAATTTTTTGAGACCGATTGATAAAACTCATCCATAAAGCTTACTCCGTATTAGTTTTTATTTTAGGTTCCACCAGGAAGACTAATAATTGAGAGATGAATGATCATTTAAGTTTCGAGTTTAGAGCTTCAAACTCAGCGACGAGTTTGGGAAAGAGTACGAGAGGAAGAAGGAAGTTTAATTGAGGAGAGAGAGGAGTGTGAATTTACAAATTTATCCACGTTCTTAACGGAAATGTTAACAAAGGACCATTCGTGGAAAATGAATATAATAATTAGGGACTAAATTAGTAATATTTGATATGTAGGGACTAAATATATAAAACGACTTATAACTGAGAACCTTTTATGAAATTTACTCTTTAATATTTTAAAAATGTCATAACTCAAAATCTGTTCATGAGATTTGTTCATAAAACATACCATTGGATTCGTCTCTTCTAGACCTATTCATAATACTCAGTTTTAGCAAAAGATTATTAACTCAAAAATTCCTTTTTTTGGTCAAATATAGAAATAATACTTTGTTAGGTCAAATATAGTTTAAAAAATACTTTTATCATAAAATAAATCTTAGATCATGCTTTGGGACGTTACATCTTCATCTTGAACCCTCTTTCATAGATCCAACTCTCCTCTAGTGGTCTCTTCTAGCACAGCTTCTTCCCTCACAAAGATCGCCCTCCCCTGTGATTCTGTGAACACTGGGTTCGACTCGGCCCAAGAGGAGGACGATATGGCTAGGGTTACGAATTACGATGGTAGGACTCAGGGAAGCAGAGTATTTTTTGATAGAGGACCGCACTATTTATTTTCTTTAGAATGAACAATAAGAAAAAATGGGCCACAATTTTTTTATTATAATCTTTTATTCAAGATGACACTAAATATTTTTTGACAACTTACTACAATATTTTTCTCTCAAACGACACTACATATTACTTTCCAATCATGCACTTTTACCTCAAAAGACACTATAAATTTTCAAATTGATACATTTTTAAAGCACATACACAAATCTTTTACAAGAGCGTACTGTTATATTTTTAAAAACACAATTTCATATTTTTAAAATTTTTAAAAATTTAAAAATCAAAATTTACCACAAAAAAACTCATCTTTCAGTTGATCGTAAAAAATGTATTTTTTCAAAAATGTCATTAGGTCATCGTTACTTTTGGTCCAAAACCCGCACACAAGCAAAAAAATTGGGATTTTAACACGTAATTTTGAAAGATGAGATCACTTTTAGAACAACGTAAAGATGAGAGTATTTCAGATAAATTTTTTCAAAGCTTTTTTTGACTTACCATCTTTTTTTCTTCTTCATCAATTTTAACCATTCAATTTTATTTTTTTTAAAAGATGGTGGCAAATGTGAAACCGTTGTGGGTAGGCCTACTCTTCTCGGCTGAAGTAATTCTTTGATCAAATTTGGGCTTTAGATTTTGGATTGCAATGCATTTGGGCTTTTATATTTCTTTTTTTCTTCTTCGTTTTTTTTGCATCGTACAAAACGACGTTGTTTTGCTAAATAAAAAAAAAAGTCTGTCTTCGCTTCTGCGGACGGGATGATACGAAGCCGAAGAAGAGAGGGCAAACCCTAGCCTAAATCCCATCTCTATCTCTTCCTTCCTCTGCGGTTCCGCGACCAGGCCACCACCATCTCGCCGTCGCCGCCGGATTTAGCCGTCAAACCTCCAGTACAGGCGCACCGCAGGCAGGTGAGATTAATTTTAGTGTTCCACCATGGTAATTAATTTTAGCTGATTTTGGATTTCGGTAATTAATTTATGAAGCATGAATCTATTATGGTTTCGCATTTTAGTTGAGTATTTTAGTAATTTTTACTATTTAGAAATTCAATTGTTTGTTAATTTTGTTCACTCAATTTTATAATTATTCGTGGTAAATTGTAACTTCAAAATGTGTAATTAATATTTATTTCTTAAATTAGGATGTACTAATTTAAAAAAAACCATATTTAAATAAAAGAGTAAATTCCCAAAATAGTCCTTTGTAATTATGTATTTTTCCAAATTAGTCCTCAATAAGCAATAATAACGAGTATGGTAAGTGTCTATTAAATGACAATCAAATAGAATGTATTTTGGTATTTTCTCTCATCTAGATCTAAAATATGTTCTCAAAATGCTAATTTATAATTAAATATTTTTCCGAAACGATAATTTCCAAGTAATTGTTTTTTCGAAATGGAGTACATGAGCCTACTCGGGGTGGACTCGTTCCTCTAGCGGCCACCCAATTAATTTGAAAGGACCATTTTGAGGGCTTATTCATAATTTAGATGATAAAAAATATAAAAATATCCCCAATGTAATTGTCATTTAGTAGGCAGTTTTGACAAAGGACTATTTAGGAAATACTTCTCAATTACAAAGAATTATTGGTAATTATTGTTTATTGAGGACCAATTTGGAAAAACACCTTATTAGAAAGGACCATTTTGGGAATTTACTTGAAATAAAACATTGAAAATATGAAAGCTAGAAGAATTCAGGTGTAAAATAACATTATTTTTATACAATTTTATTGTGTAGTACTCCGTATTGATTATGGTACTATTCACAGAGCAAACATTGCTTTAAGTTTTCTGTTTAAGAGCACGAAATCTCTTGAGACAAAAATTTGGAGGTTCGAGAGTTTGGGACCTCATAGTCACAAAATCCTGAAATCGGCCTTTGCACACCAACCCCATATTTGATGGCATAAAAATATTCGGTGATATATGTTGTGGTTGTTTTCTAAATGTTCATGAAACTCAAGTTATTCCCTGTAATTTTTTCTATTAGGTTTCTTCTGGATTGGACGGGTAAGTGTAAATGTAAGGGCAAACTTCACATTCTACATTCAGACTAAAGAAGCCTAAATTTTTATTTCTTTCTGCCTTTACTATACCTAAAAAGTACAAGCTGTGATCTCCCCAAGCTCCCCTTTGGCCTTGCCGGCCTCCAAATCAAGAATTCACTGTTCTTCATTGTCCATTCCTTCTCAGTTTGCCTCAAGATTCAAAAAATGGATCTAAGCAATTGCAAGGACAAAGGCAAAAGTGCAGGGAAAAAATCAGATGTTTTCGCTTCGTGTTCGTTTGCTAGTCTGGGTCTTCACCCAACATTATGTGACCAGCTCAAAGGTGCTCTCTTTGCTAACCACTACGTTATTTGATTCATTCTGTGTTGTCTTAAGTTATGTGATTGAGTAGTACACTTCTTGTGTTTTTATCAGAGAGGCTGGGTTTTCAGGATCCAACTCTTGTTCAAGCTCAGGCAATTCCTGTTATTCTATCTGGTCGACATGTGTACTTCTCTCTTTCCACTTTTTATTTGATTCTATTCCTTTAAATTCCATTTTAGTTTGCTCACAGGTTTTTCTTTCTGGTTTTGTTCTTTCCACCTTTCAATATGTTATGTTTATAATGTACAGGCTAGTGAATGCAGCAACCGGGACAGGGAAAACGGTGGCATACTTGGCCCCAGTTATTCACCAGTTGCAGAAATGTGAACCTAAGATTCAACGTTCTGATGGTACTTTTGGTATGTATTATATGTTGAAGTGTTGGATCAAATATCTAGTCATTCTTTAGTCTCACATATATAACTCTTGCTGTTAGTGAAAGAGAAAACAAATGGAAGGGCTTCTTGATGTCTCTTTTTTATTATCTGATATGGCGTATTCTATGTGGCATGGCTTCTTGTCCGTAATGGCCGGGTTTCTTCTGCATTTTTTTGTAAAGAGAAACATGGAACAGTTTATTTTTTGAATCACGCACTTACTTTTCTTAGTCTAAGGGGTACAACATAGAACTTAAAACAATTAAATATTTAGTTTTGTCCTTCAAATGAAGGAGGTGTTGTGCCTACTCTTTGACATGCAAAGCTAAATTATGAGGAAATATATGAAAAAGAACAGTGGAAATATATGAAAGAGATTGCTCCCTTCGTCCCAAAAACTTTGCCAATTTTCATTCTTTGTCCATCCCAAATAACTACACCCTTTTCATTTTAAGAGAAAAGTTTTATGGTTCATATTCCCTGTCTCCCTCTGGGGTCTCCCCCCGCTAAAAAGAAACTCAACCACAAGTAATCTATGTACCAAGTCAACCTTGGTAAAAACCATTGTGATGGAGTATAATCTAAACATTTTATTAGGCTTGCAAATTGCTTGAGACAAGTACTAAACTAGATTTTTTACTCGAGTGGCCCTCAAGCTTGGGCTTGGGTTGACAGAATCCAAATTGAATATTTTTTTGAGTTGATCTAAAATAGGTGAGGGATAGTTTGACTTGCTCACAACCCTATTGATGACAAAAACAGTTCTTTCAGTATCTTTTTCTCACTTTAGATGGTGTGTCATTGCCGATCATAACTGGAGTTCCCTTGATAGCGTTGGTTCTTGTACCAACGCATGAATTATGCCTTCAGGTGTATGAAATTTTGCAGAAAATGTTGCACCGCTTCCATTGGATTGTTCCGGGATATATAATGGGCGGGGAAAACCGCGCAAAGGAGAAGGCCAGGTTGCGTAAAGGTAAAAAATTAAAATATGCTACTGCAATTTGAGAGCATTTGATGTTTTCCGCCATTAAGGTTTGACAGTAGTAGTTTCTGGCAAATTATCATTTCCAGGTATATCAATTCTTGTTGCAACTCCTGGGCGTCTTTTAGATCATCTTAGAAATACATCCTCGTTCGTACACCAGAATTTGCGGTGGATTATTTTTGATGAAGCGGATAGGTGTGTTGCTTAAATATTCATCTACTTCCCCTTTCAAGTACTCCTTTGATCCCTTTATATAACTGCCCGGTTTGACTGGGCATGGGTATAAGAAAATGAAATTGTGTGGTTGAAGTTTATTAAGAGAGAGTAATTTTGTGAATCATTTTATTTTCCTTAAAAGGAAATGAGGGATGATTTTGGGGTTGATGAAAAAGGAAAGTTTGAAGATACTTAGTGTCAGGTTTTTTTGGGGGGATATTTTAACTTGCACTCGTCTACTCCAACATTTGATTTTGCGCACCATGTTGGGGTGCAATGTCTTACTTTTTGTTTTTGCACCCCATGTGTACCCCATTATTTGGCTTTGCAACCCCATTCTGGAGAGCTCTATGGTGTGTAGTCAAAGAAAATAAGACATGGGCTTGAAAGTGAAATAAGCATGAGCTGGCGATACCAAATTTTCCTAATTTTTCTTTCAACTTTGGTTTTTTTCAATGTATCTTTCCAATTTTCAGCATTTTGGAACTTGGGTTCGGTAAAGACATTGAAGAGATACTTAGTATACTGGGTTCCACCCAATATAACTCGCTTGGCCAGGAAAATTCCAGTTCTCGAGGTCTTAACGTCCAGAGGCAAAATTTGCTGTTGTCCGCAACATTAAATGAGAAAGTAAACCATCTTGCGAAAATGAGTTTAGAGAACCCAGTAATGATTGGTCTTGATGACAAGAAGTCAGAAAAAAAAGGGAATCACGATGAAGACATTGAAACAAGCGTAGATGTTGAATTAGGAACATCTGGAAAATTATTGAGTTCTTCCAGCGAGGAATATAAAGTTCCATCTCAGCTTCTCCAAAGATATATAAAAGGTACTTTCTTAAGGATATGTTTGGAACTCGGGAAATGGTAGGGAAATAAAAAATCCTAAGGAATATTATTTCTCTGATTTGTTTTGCCTTTGATATTACAAAGAAGAATTTAATTCAATTTTTTAACTGCATATCTTAGACTTAATAATCTTTATACAACAACGAATTCAGTATAATCCCAACTCTGTTGGGGTTTTGGGGGGGGGGGGGGTCAAGATNTGTAAAAATAGAGAGGTCTTTTTTGTTAGAACCTTGAGGCATTGCTGTATTTATTGTCCGAAGCTTCATACAACGCAAGAAGCAAGAGAAGTTTAGTGTGTTGATTTGATTTAGTTCATTTTTTAATTTTTACCCTAAGCTCAAACATTGTCCAAAATGTCTCTTTTAATTTTCCCTTGAAATTTCCCCCTTCTAAATTTACATTCAATTTCCTCTCTATCTTCTTGTCATAACATTTTCCAAGTCTTAAACAGACTCTAATTGACATGAAAAAGTTTTATGTGTTGAGTTCAATCACTCCTTGTATTATCCTAATGTTTTCTTCTTTTCTTTTTTCAGTTCCATGTGGTAATCGTCTTGTAGTACTTCTTTCAATATTAAAACACCTGTTTGAGAAGGAAGCTTCTTCCCAAAAGGTTAGGAAATATTGTAATTACTACTTACAAATCTTCACTTTATGGTGGCTTATTTGGTACTCCCTCTGTCTTTTTTAAGTAACTATTATGACTTTCTTGATACATAGAAAAACGAATGAATGTAGACACGCAGTATGTCTATATTCATTCAACTTTTGGTGTATCAGAGAAGTCATAATGGTAAGTTAAAAGTGAATGGGTGGAGTATTCCTATGCTCCTTTTCCAACCATTTGCACTTCTTTTTGCAGATAGTGGTGTTTTTTTCCACATGTGATGCTGTAGATTTTCACTATTCACTGTTGGGTGATTTTCAGTGGCATCCGAGCTATCAACCAGATTCGGATGCCAAGCTAAAGTTTTTGAATTGTAAAACATTTCGGTTACATGGTAATATGAATCATGAAGACCGTAGGTCTACCTTTAATGCATTTAAAACAGAAAAATCAGCTCTGCTTGTGTCCACTGATGTAGCTGCTAGGGGTCTGGATTTCCCCAAAGTTAGGTGCATTATACAGTATGACTCTCCTGGTGAGGCCACTGAGTATGTTCATAGGTAAAATTTCAGACTGACTGGGTATGTGTATGTGGATGAATTTGATACGATTCTGATACGTCATAAAATTCTGTCACTGCTGATGGTAGAATGAGTAAAGATTATACTGTACTTTTATACTCATGTCCCAAAAAACTTTATTCGTTTAACTAAGTTTATCATATTTAACTTGTTTGTATTTTTTTTTCAAATTATATAAAAGGTTAGTTCTTAGAGAGTACTAAATATAGAAATGTCTCAATGCAGAGTGGGAAGAACTGCTCGATTGGGGGAAAAAGGTGACTCTATACTATTTCTACAGCCAGTTGAAGTTGAGTACTTGAAAGACTTGGAGAAACATGGAGTTACACTAACAGAGTATCCCCTTCTTAAACTGTTGGATAGCTTCCCCGTGTCCAATACTAAGCGCTTGTCGAAGAAGTTTGTTTCAGTTGAGATGCACCCGTGGTCACTTTTTTTGCAGAAAGCTTTGGAGTCCTTTGTCACCAATGAGGCAAGATAGTATTGCATCTCTCATTTCATAATGTTTACATAATTTTTCAAGGAATTTTCTAAGCTTGTTTTTGGTGAAGGATTTTGGAGGGTAGATAATCTAGACATGGCTTAGGACTTCATGACCTTATCTAGGATGTGTGTCTAGAGAGTTAGGATTAGAGTAGTTGGGTAGCGCATGATTGCTTTCTGTGCTTTAGGTCTAGTGTTACGTTTGCCTTGCACGTGCTTTTTGAGCCAGGGGTCTCTTGAAAACAACCTTTCTACCTCCATGTAGGGGTTTGCGTTTATGCTCTCTCTCCCGAGCTTAGTATCTTGTGGGATTTTAACAGGGTTTGTTGTTATACATATAGATGCTTGGAAAGAAAAGGAAAACAAAAAAAATATAGACACCCAATTTGGTTAAACATATACTCCTTCCACCCAAAGTTAGTTGTCCACCCATCCCAACCACCCCACAAATGCAAGAATTTAGGTTTGCTGAATTGACAAAAAACCCAATTGTAATTGGCTTTTGTGTCTTCCTTTGTTGGAAACAAGCCAATTGTGCTCTTTAGGGACATTTTGGTGGAATTCTAATAACTTGTTTGCCAAATACGGTAAGCAACAATCCACTGCTATTTTCAAATCTGCCCGTCGTAGCGCAACAGTCATGCCGACAACCGATTATCTAATATTTTTTTATGTGCTAAATTTTGCCAGGCTAAGATGGCGAAAATGGCGAAGAAGGCGTTTTGCTCGTGGGTGCGCGCGTACACTGCGCACCGCGGAGAGCTGAAGGGAATTTTCATGGTGAAGAAACTTCACTTGGGACATGTTGCAAAGAGCTTTGCTCTAAAAGAACAGCCATCCTTAGTGAACAAATCAATTCAGAAGGAAACAAAGAAGAGGGGAAGGGATCAGTTCCATCAGAAGCACAAGAGGGTATCAAAGAAGAGGAAATAAATTACTAGTATGATGAAGTATTTGTTTTCATTTGTCCGGAATTAGTTGTCCACTTTTCATATTCGGCAAAAAAAGTGTGATAAATTGTCTAAAATATACCGAGTACCAAAGAAATAGAGTATGAGGGTAAAGAGAGTTGAACCTTTGTTATCTCTAAGACATTCAGTACAGAAATATTTCTCTATATTTAATATTTTCTACATGGTATCCACTTTGTTATCTCCGGCCAGCAATGTTATTAAATTCAGACAGGGCGGTTTGACCGGTTGAACCGTGACCCGGACACACAGCCGGCAAACCCCCCAAAAACCTGGAAAAAACGGATCGACCCGGAAAAATCCTCCCCGCCTGGACGACCTCCGGTCCGGGTTTCAAATCATTGCGTCCTAGAGTATTTTTTTCAGTTTTGATCTTTTACATTTAAAATTGACAAATTTTAACTATTAATTAAATAAAATTGATATTAGATACTGACACAAAAACTATTTTATTAGATTTATCATTTATAATATTTTCAAAATATTACTTTATCAATTTAGTAAACCATAAGATTTTAAATTAATTAAATGTCAAAGGTTGATATTAATTAACTAAAAATATTAAAATCGGACAAACAATAAGAGACTGAGTGAAAACATGTTATTAGTCAACTATTGGCAAACACTCCCAAACAAAACATTAAGTGATTGATTTGGTCCAACCAACCAACTGTGGTCAAATCAGCCAAACTTTGGGCGATTGCCCAATGTTCCAAACGAAGCCACGTGTAATGTGTTTGTTCGACGGTACGTGAAAATGGTTTCTTGTTCGGTTCTTATACTTCGGTCGCCTTTGTAAACTTTAAATGGCCAAACCCAAAAAAAGGCCATATGATGCGGGGCTTTGTTTGCACGTGGAGGCCCACTTCTGATTGGACTCCCGAGAGTTACGGGCCTGTCTCGGAGCCAACCTTTTCGCTCAAAGCCCATGGGCCCCAATGGTTGACGATTGTACCTGTGTTTACCCACGTCAGTCCATATCCCCGGGTAGGGCCCGCTGTTGGACGCGCAGAATCTAAGCTTGTAGGGCTTTGTCGGGTAAAGGCCCAACCTACTGTTTGTTTCAAGGAATTAGGAAGGAATAGAAAAGAAACTCAATTTCTCTCATTTTCTTGACTAAAATAGAATAAATTTAGTTTTTCCTTCTCTTAGTATATTTTATCTTTTTTATTTTCTATTCCATCCACTTTTCTTTTTTTCTCTCTAACCAAATAAGAAAAACTATTTTCCATCTTAATTTCTTTTCTTTTCCCTCTCAAATTCATTAAACCAAACATAGTGCTAAAGTCTTACTCCTTATTTCTCTCTTTTTCTTTTTTCTAGAGTTATTCACACTATTATAATGTCGGGTCTATTACTACTTTCTTAATATAATGGTAAAGAAAGTGTCAATGCCTTCGCTTCCACTAAGATCAAATTTTAGTAAATTTCTTCATGAATCTTGGAAAAATGATTTTCCTATCATTTAAGCTAACGGAGAAATTCTTCTCTATATATTTCTTTAAAACACAAATCTTTTACAAGAGTGTAGATTCAAATTTGACATCAATATGAAGTCTCTGATGCAAATTTCACATTTTGTGCTCATCCAATGCTACAATAATTCGAAACACAAACTGACCATCGAACCAAAAGTGTGAAGGTTAGTTCCTATGTTTTTTCGGGTCACTCTGGACCAATCTACGTTTTTACTAGTTTTAGGATTTTTTATTGGACCGATTATGTATACAGTTCGCATTTTTACTAGCTCGATCATTCGGTCTGAGTTTAGTAACATTGGTTTGATAATAATTTCTCCGTTAAATTTTATCATTTTGAAAAAACTATTCAATGACAATATAAGATTTTAGCATTTTGAACGTTAGTCTATAGTATTAAAAAAATAATCTAGCTGGTGGGAGTTGCGCAGTTGTCAAATGCAAGGGGTGTTAAGGAGATATACCCGAGTTCGATTCTTGATTATCATGCTAAACATGGGGCATCTGCACGTACAAAGTGCATTTTGAAAAAGAATTTAAAATGTTTAGTTGAAAACGTTATTTCAAAAAGTATTTTTACGGCCCGTTTGGTACACATATAATTGGTGAAATTGGAATTGAATTGAGAGTTGAAATTCTGTGCAATTGATTTGGATGGAATTGAATTCTCTTATTTCAATTCATTTTTGACATTATCAATTTCAAATTCATATATTTTCGTACTACTAAACATCAAAATTGGAATTATTGCCCTCAATTTTAATTTCATAATTTGAATTTTGTGTACTAAACGGAGCCTTAGAGTAATTAGACTATTCATCACCAATTTTCATGAAAGCCAGTCAACCCATCTCCTCGTGGAGATCTAATCTAATTATGAATATTATAGCCTTAACCTTTTGTGTTTGCTTTTTTAAAATGGTACTCCCTCCATTCTAAAAGAAGTTCATATTTTGATCAAGTGTAAAATTAAGAAAATGAAGAAACTTAGAACTGAAATGCTTGGTGGATTCATTCAAGTCAAAGCCAATATAAATGTACATGGGTGATATAAACGAGGAACCCCGGTGAAACAAACGAGGAGTCCCCAAATACAAAAATACAAAGAATACACTATATACACTAATACGCTAATACTCCCCCTCAAGTTGGAGCATGAATATCAAAAATGCCCAACTTGGATAACAAAGAATGAAATAATGGTCCAGGAAGAGCTTTAGTGAAAATATCTGCTGTTTGAAATCGTGTTGGAACATAAGCTGTGACGATGTGATTGCGCTGAATACATTCCCTGACAATATGACAATCAATATCAATATGCTTTGAACGCTCATGAAATACAGGATTAGCAGCAATAAACAAAGCAGATTTGTTGTCGCAGTATAATTTAGGAGTGACAACACACGGGACAAATAGGGCGGCGAGCAGACGCCGTAACCAACGAATCTCGTTACAGGCGTTGGCCATAGCCCTGTACTCGGCTTCAGCGGAGGAGCGAGATACTGTATTCTGCTTCTTACTTCTCCAAGAGACGGGTGACCCTCCAAGTAAGATAAAATAACCGGTAACAGAACGACGCGTCAGAGGACAACTCGCCCAATCTGAATCTGAAAAGGCAGTCAGAGCAAGGTTACTGTCACTGCGTAATAAAATACCCTGTCCAGGATGGCCTTTGAGATAGCGAACCACACGCAAGGCAGCGAACCAATGATCCAAACGTGGAGCCTGCATGAACTGAGATAATGCATGTACAGCATAGCATATATATGGGCGAGTAATAGTCAAATATAATAAACGACCCACAAGGCGACGATACTTCGTCGGATCACGTATCTCAGCACTAGTAGACCGTGCAAGATTGTGATTACTAGGTAACGGGGTGTCAACGGGCTTACATCCTGATAAATTTGCCTCCTGGATAATATCAAGAGCATACTTACGCTGATTAAGGACCATGCCTTCCTGAGATCGAGCACACTCGATGCCCAAAAAATAGGAAACGGGTCCGAGATCTTTGAGATGAAAACATTCATCTAAATATTTCTTAAATGACGAACACAAAGAAGGATTATTACCAGCAACAAGAATGTCATCCACATAGACCAAAACCACCAACATATCTTGTCCACGACACATCACAAAAAGAGTATGGTCTGCATGAGCCTGACGAAAACCATAACGACGTAAGGCCACACGAAGCTTATTGAACCAATTACGAGGAGACTGACAGAGCCCGTATAGTGATTTACGCAAGCGGCAAACTTTTCCAGGAAAGAGCTGCTCATATCCTGGAGGAATTTTCATATAGATCTCATCACGAAGATCTCCATGTAAGAAGGCATTGTTGACGTCCAACTGATCTACCTGCCAACCCCTAGCCACTGCAACAGACAATAACACACGAACAGTGGCTAATTTGGCCACGGGAGCAAAAGTTTCAGAAAAATCAATCCCATATTCTTGTTGATTCCCCAATACAACCAACCGAGCTTTATCCCGTTCCTTGGTACCATCAGATTTATATTTGGTCCTGTATACCCATTGACAACCCAGGGCACGCCGGTTAGGAGGGAGGTCAATAATATCCCAAGTATGATTACGCTCTAGAGCCAAGAACTCTTGAGCCATAGCCTCACGCCACGAAGCATACTGAACAGCCTCTTTGAAAGTTTTAGGAACGGGAGAGGCATCAATTGCGCCCAAGAAACTTTTGTACCTGTCATGCAATTTGTTATAATGAACAAAGTGAGTAATGGAAAACCGTGTACCTGACGAAGACGAACCAGATGAAGAGAGAACCGGAGTGTCAACTTTGGCGGAATGAAGAACATAGTCACTGAGATGGGAGGGGGGACGCCGAGTACGTGGTGGAAGAGGAGGAGGTGACGGTGATGGAGAGGTGACGGGACTGTTCTCGTTGTCGGAAGACGAAGACGCCAAAGGAGATGACGATGGAGAAGAGTCGTTTGACGGTGTATGTAGTGGTTGTGGGGTGATACTGGTGGTGGTGGGCTGAGATGTGACCAGAGGAACTACAGTCGACGGCTGGGATGGGTTGACAATGGTCGGGAAATCCTCCGTCGACGGCTTCAAGACATGTAGAGGTGACGGGGACCGTGTCGGTTGGGCAAAAGGGAATTGGGTTTCATCAAATGAGATATCCCGAGTGTGAAAAAATTGATGAGTTTCAAGGTTGTATACTCGCCATCCTTTGGTACCGTAAGGATAACCAACAAACATACATTTCACACTTCGGGGAGCAAATTTATCTGAGGGTTTTGGCATACGACGAACGAAGCATAAACAACCAAAGACACGGAGATGGCTTAAATTTTGTGGTTTAGAGGAAAGAATTTCAAGAGGAGACTTACCCCCAAGAAGTTTGGTAGGAGTACGGTTGATGAGATAAACTGCAGTTTTGACACACTCCCTCCAGAAAAAAGTAATATGTGATAAATAAATTATTAGAAAAAAGTTATGATGTGATAGGTAAGGTATGAAAAAGTAAGGGTAAAAGTGATTTTTTAATACTCCGTAGAAAGTGGAAGTATTTTGTTGGAAGTGAAAAAAATAAAAAAGGAAGTATTTTTGAATACAGAGATAGTAACTTTTTTTTAACTATAAAATCAAATGAGTACACATATGATAATGATTAGGACTGCGGGTTCACCAAAAAAGATTTTTTCAA